CCTCCCACATTAGCCAAACTACATTGAGGCTATGGTGTGAAATTAATGATTTTCCAGGACTCGAAAATGTGCCATTAATATGCATCCAACTCCCCTCTTCCCTGAGCTTAAGGTTCGCTGTCCTGACATGGCCTGCACGTTTCTACACCCAGTTGCATTTTCCAGCCCATGGGCAGCTCCACAATTAAATGCCACATTCACTCGGAGAAAGGTGTGCAAAACAGATTTCAGATCCTTTAAAGTAAAAGGCACAACTTGCAACACAAGGAATGGGGTGATTTAAGAAATTAAAGCACTGTTTTTTTAAGCTTTCATAGAATGAACACAGAGAATGGGAAGGAAACTTTCCCCCTCTGCTCCTGTTCTTGAAGTGAATACATATTTGTGTTTCCAATAAAAGGCCATTTTTACATTAACTGTCTGTAACAGCAGGAGACAGAAAAACTAACACAATCTCTACATCACACACAGGATGATCTTCATATCACGTGGCCCTATTCTCAAAACTATTATTTATAAAAGACAACTAGGAAAATGCACAATGCCTCTTTTCTGTGTCTGACCGAAAGGGTAATGTCTGAAGAACTTTGGGATCTTTGGGATCTTCCACATTTAAAATTTTTTTTTTTTCCTTTTTGGCTTTCCGAAGTAAATTTAGCAGCCATGCGGGCCACTGTGTTTAATTAAGCTTTCAAAAGTCCTCTGACAATGCCAACAATTGTAAGACACTTCTGTGGCTCAATCATGCAATCACTGTGACAGTTCTATTTACAATTTGTCTTAGAGAGAGTTTCTCTGACATTGTACTTTGACAAAACATCCAAGCTGCCAGTTCACAACCTTTCTCGGTCTTATTTACAAATACAGCTTGTATATAGGACTCCCAGACTCATGAACATGAGTCTTTGGGTAGTGGCCTCACAAACACATAGGCTCCCAATGAAAATCCTAGATATATATAAGGAAACAATATTCTCTACTCTCTGGATTCAGAAGGTAAGTAAAATGTTCACCAGTACACTGGGGTTTTGTTTGTTTGTTTGTTGTTTTCTTTTTCAGCTGCCATGCTAAAAATTCACTTCAGAAGTCAGTGGTTTTTATTCAGAATCACTCGAATAAAAAGAAATTAAAAGTAAGTAGTCATACTAGGATACTACAATTTATAGTCTCATTTACAGTCACACCATGAAGCATACAAATACATCCCAAATCCAGTCTGAGCTAGAGAATTAGAATGGGTACAAAAGGAAAATGCAAGTTGATTTTCTAGATTCTGAAAAGCATGTTATATTTGATTTACCTTTAAGTAACATGCTGATGTATTTCTGTTTTGAATTAGTATTTCTCCCTCCCATTAGAGTAACTGTCTTACATATTTTTATCCAGTGATGAGGTATATTACCTAAGCAAATAATTTTGAAATATCCGATATAAAGGCCTATGTTCACAATTTTAAGGAGAAAAAAATCATATTTATCAATGGTAGTAGACTTGACTACATTTTATAGCACTGGTCATATTTTCTCCCATTCTCTTAAAAAGCTAACTTCATAACAGCCCAACCCTAATTTGAAGATTTCTGTGTATAATAAGCCGAAACCTCACATCTGACACTGTGGGATTATATTTTTGGCCCTTTCTATAAGTGAACAGCAGTTTCCCATTCACTAGTCTTTGATGAGTATTTCCCCCATCATAAAATAGGAGACTAGAAAACACAGCAACACCCCTATTAAAAGCCCTGACTGCCAGTCACACACAGGCTGCTCATACCTCGTGGTGAATATCTGAAACACAAATACATGCACTGGACCCCACGCAATATAACCTGCTCATTTCCAGTTAAATGAATACTATTTCAGTGGTCTCAATGGATCACTGTCACGCAATATTTTGAATATTTGAATGAAATGAGAAACCAAACTGATGAACGTCGATGTGTTAACACACGTACATGGGTGAAGTGCTGGAGCACAGACCCATCTATTCGCCAGGTAAAAATCATCGTTTCTTAAAAAAAAAAATACTCCTCTTGGAGAGGCCTGTGTACAGTCAAAATGCATATCACTTTACTAAGGATTTAAAGAACTCTACTTTATTCTCCTATCTGAAAGCCCCAAATTCTAAGCTTTATTTATCTCAGGAAAATCTGTCATTGTTTTATTCCTGCTTCCTGCCTATAAAATGGCACAGAGCACACTGAGCTCAAATCCAACTTACATCACTTTAATAAAGCCTTTCCTACACAGCGCACTTAAATGACTACCTTTTATGTGGTTGCCAAACATATTCTTCTAGAGATTCATCAATAGATCTCTCTCCTAATATGGAGTATTGCTTCTCCTTTCTTTTTGTGACACAATTTAAGTATCTACCGAATGATTATTCTTCTTGTTTCCTTCCTCACCATAAAAAGAAAAGAAGACTTGGAACTGGGAAGACGTGCTGGAGAGAAATGGGCTAGTTGTGCACAGCCGTCTTCCAGAACTTCCCTTCAGAGGCACCTGAGGGCCAAGGCATCTTAATTTATGTGCAATGGTAGAATGTTAATTTCACCATAGGAAACTCTTAATTCATTACTGTGAATTATGAGAAGTCGTGATTCTAGTTACTGACATCTCGCTTTGAGATGTGACCATGCTATTTATGTTCAGCCAATTCCAGGGTGGGAACAGGTGATTAAACACAATGAAAGGAATCAAGACTTTGTAATTATTTGTGCATGAAAGGTTTACCTCACCTGGGTTGCAGTGCTGGTGCACCCACTGAATATCTTAGATACCTTACACTGCTTTTCATCTCAATGAAATTATTTAGTATTAGCACTCTAAAACATATTTTAAATTTGCTTTCTTTTCTTTTTGCTTTCTTTTGTGTTTGTGTTTGTTTTTGTTTTTGGCAGGGCGGGGTGCTTCTCTAGGCTCTGCTATTGTACCAGGTTTTAAGAAAAAAAAAAAAAACCTTTATGACAACCAGAAGTTAAAGAAAATATCTTTTCTTTCCTTATGTAGATTCACAACTATCACAGTAAAAAGCTTTCACTACAGTGCCTTCCCCCCAGCTTTTAGATTCCTCTTCTAAGTACAGAAGCACAGAATTTTGGAGCTGGTTAATCTGAGAGTGAATAACCTATTTGGGACCTCAGTAAAGAAGTGTGGTTTTAATTCCTGCTTGACAGACACTGTGTTTTGTCTTTTAAACGAGCAGCTCGATATGTAAATACGATGTTACATCACGCAAGTGTTACTCCATATTTGGTGATTTAGAAAGGCTTTGGATCTCCGAAGTCGACAAATCCCCTTCTGCCGGCTCTTGCTTCATTAATCATGCCTTACGTTTTCCTTCCAGTCACAAGACAGCACATGGAAATGGTCATTGCCATATCCTACTGGGGGGGTGGGGGGGAGCGGGGGTATAAAAGCTTAACCTACATGTCACTTAAGCTAAATGTGGTGGAGTCTAGAAAAATATTTTGTAAATGCAGCTTCTCTGGTACAGATTTCTCGTTTCACTAAATGAAAAGTATCTGAGTGTTATTGCAGGAAGCATTAAAATAAAAAAGAAGAAAGAAAGAAAGAAAATGCCACGTTTGATTTTAATGATCAAATTCCAGAGGGGAAAAGGAGAAATAATACGACATTTAATCCCCTCTGGACCACTGACCTACTACAGTTCAACTCTGTGGTCAAACTAGGTCAGAAAGACAAGTTTCAGTGAATCAACTGATTATACGCACTCTTTCCTAAAACTGAACAAACCTTCTGCCTTTTAGGGAAGGGGGCAGGGGGGAAACAGAAGAAAGGGCTCCACCAACAGTCTTGGTATTTTTGGCACCACGGACTCTGCATTTACTCTGTCTTGTGTGCTAAATCACTGTTGTTTCACAAAAACATGTTTTAAAGGTCACTATATAGGGCTGCTGTTTATCACTTAGAGTAGGGATTTAAGTCCCTCTGTTAGCCCGCTAATTCTTTTTCCCCGTGAGCTGCTGAGAAACCCACACACCTAGCTACCTCTCTGCTAAAATTAACCGAAAGGAGAGCTGTTGAATATGGGTATGTGTTTTTCCAATAGAATTTTTACGTTGTGTTATAGCAGAAACAGGGGAAGTCTGGACTGGACATTTGTAAGGGTGACATGTGGTTGTGTAAACCACAAACAAAATCAAGATACATCTGTCAAAACCACATCAGAGACAAGAGAGAGCACAGAGAAGCATTTATCATTTAGCTGAGGAGGCAGGCTGCAGGGAGCAGCCGTTCCTGTCAAACCAACCTTTTGAAATTTCCAACATGCCCTTAAACTTTTCGAGTAAGCATGTCTGTGCGCTTCAGCAACTGCCCTCTCTACTCTGGCCTGGCCAGTCGAAAATGGCATCTTAAAGTCAAGGTCACAGTGTCATCCCACCACGGGGCTGTGTTTAATTACAGCCCCATACGGGCTGACAGCCAATATGGATCCAAGGCTAGCCCTGAAGCTCAGTTAACTCTTTCTAGCCATTCCAAAACATCCTGCAGCCCACCCCACTTCATGGAAGCCTTGAGAACTAACTGTACCCCTAGGGAGGTCTGACCAGGTATTCGGACTCAAAGAGGTCATCGGCCGAACCACTAAATGTCTGCATGGCCACTTTTGCCTCTGACTTGTCACCATGACTGGAAATGGACAGTGGAAACTGGGCCCACGTAGAGTAAGGTTCAACACTTAAAAATGAGAAGGGGAGAAAAAAAAGAAAAGAAGTTCAGCATCAGTAGATCCAGAGAGAGGGCATCAGGTGTGTGTACCACCTACATCTGACTCAGTGAAGTGGAAAATATTTATTTTTTGTGTGTTCTGGATGTAAGCAATAGGAATGATTATTTTAAACATTACAGGGCTGTCAGGGACAGTCACATGGAGAAATACAGAAAGCACTTCACCACTCCTTAGTGCTTGGCTACAGCACCTCTGTAAATGAAAAGAAAACATGCAAACAGCTTTTCTCCTTGCTTCTCATTTACCTGCTATGTGTTCCTGTTTGGGGCAAATTCCTCTAGATGACGTTGATAAACAATCGTCATCCTCTGGCGTGACCTGGATGCCAACCTCCACGGGATTGGATGCTTTTTTCATCTCGATTGGTGAAGGGGAAGGTGGCTTATCCACAGCTTTTTCTAAGCAGAGGCTGCCATTGCATTGTTTCCGTTTGTGCTCGATAAAAATAAGAATGTCCCCCAATGGGAAGTTCATCTGGCACTGCCCACACGTGAGGAGGTCATGGTCCCCTTCTGGAGCTCCCAAAGGGCCGTGGTCCGGTTCATCATCTGTAAGAATGGCTTCAAGAGGTTCGGCTGTGGTTGGAGAAACAAAAGCACAATTATTAGAGCGCCAGAGAAGAGAGAAAAGGGGGAAATACATTCTCAACCCCATCCCATCCCACCACATTATATAAAGTGTTTCTAGGCTCCTTCATATAATACCCAGAAAACGTGAGCACCTAAAACATGTAAGGATGTGAAGATTATCAACAAGAAAGCAAATTTATCAATGAGACAAATCATCATATATTTAAAGAAAACTCTCTGACTTCCCTAACTCCTGAGAAAACATACATACACACACACACACACACACACACACACTATAAACTATGTTTGGTTTGCGAGTTTAGAAACAATGTTGAGTGTTAAATAAATCCTTAAGGCAGGGAATATAAAGAAAGCTTAAATAATAACTACCCCCAAAACTGGTAAAAACATGTACTGAAACCAAATTTGTTTCTTTTTTCCTATAGACTAAGTTGTCTATTGTGCCAAAGAATAAAAAAGGAGAGGTGAATAAACACACACACCCTTTGTGTGTGAATGTATATACTCCTAAGTATACAGAGACATAGCTTCATAAATTAGAAAGCTACTATATCACACAGAAAATGTGCCACATTTACACCGTCATAATAAGAAAACGACTGCATTCACCTGTGAAACGGATCTAAATAATAATCATAACGCAGCATAATTCATACTGCCAAAAACCTTTCTGATCTCACTCTCAGCAGTGCCACAAAATCAAAGAAATACCAAATTCACTGGCAATTCTTCTCAGACACATTAGCTAAATGGGATACTTTTGAGTACTTAAGAAAATAAGCCAATTAGTCATTTTTTCATTCTGAAGAAAGGAATGCCTAAAATATTCTAAACATGTTTGCACTTGGTGGCCTCCATCACATAAAAATCAGAATGGTCAAGCAAACGCCACATTTCAGAACAAGGCTGAGAAGTCCTTTCTTTAGACTTGAAATACTTCGCCTAATGTTGTCAAAGTTGACTAATTTTCTGAATGAGCTCCAAAACGCTTCATTATGGGACTATTTCTACACACATAATCACCAGCGGATGGTATAACAAGGTAGATATGTCTTTCATTCCTGTTTCCTTTTTTTTTTTTTTAACTTTGCACCAAAATACTCCAGCATCTCATTTGAACAGCTTCTATCATTTTTTTAACCTTCCAAAGAGGAAAAGAGAGTTGGTTAAGTCTCTGCTCCTGAAACCATATGCTTACTCTATCAAAAAAAATCACAAAATACAAAACACATCCAGGATGCTGCCAGTTAATAAAACTGAAGCAGAAAATGTACAAGTCTTAAACAGTTAATCAGTCTGACCTTCTTTAGCAAGCTGCCAATTTCACATTTAATGAACTTAAAGCCACAGAGAATCAAAAAATAGATTTTAATTTGAGTGTAGAATATTGGAACCGATTTTGATAAAGTGCAAAAATCCAGTGAACTCAGGTTAAATTTATTTCAACCCTACCCAGGCTGAATATTGAGGGGGAAGATCTGGAGTAACTCCCAGATGTGCTGGGTGAAATAATATTGAGAGAGCCCTGCCTAGCTGCACCTGTGCTCAAGTAGGACATGTCATAATTTCTAGCCTCTGGTACTCCTCCTAATTTAACATAAGGTCACCACAGGAATATGAAGGTTATATTCTCACTAATAAAGGCAGCAAGGTAAGCACTTATGTTTCTTTGCCCAACATACTGACCAAAAGATAAATACAGAATACACATGCATGCTTTTTAAATAAAAGGAGATAAACGGAAGTGCTTTTGCATTATGCCTCTATGTCATTTTTCTCCTACATTTGCTTTCATTTTGACCAAGTGAGGAACCGAATAGGGAAGTCATCTCCAAGATCACTGCTATTTGAATTAAGGATTTTTAAGTACACATTGACAAATGTGGCTTTTTTTTTACTGTTGTTGTTTAGCACTAACTACAAGTTCTGAGGTTCACAGATTAAAGAAAGACTCAGAGATAATATTTTGCTTTATTAAAGTTAGTACTACTTAGAACCTTTGCAAAAAAATCTTTTTTAAACTCCACCATTAAGATTCTTTTTTTTTATCCCCAAGGCCTGACATATTTCTGAAAGTGGAAATATTATTTAGGAGCAAAAGGAAATATTCTCCTAGGTATCAAATAGTTAAAGGTAATGCGGTGCAAACAGACTTGGTTAAAGTCTTCTAAATGTAGTGACTGAACTGATTTACAATCAAAACCAGGAAATGAAGTGGTAATTCAGAGGTTGCTGATTACACCTCCACATTTCACCTAATTAATTTTATAGGAGGCAAAGTTCTTGAAAATAACAAGATGATCAAATGTACAGATATAAAACCTGTAACCTCAACATTTTCTATGCTCTTAACGTAAATTATTGCTAATTAACAAGAATTATATCCTAATGTATGAAATACGTCTAACATCGGGCTTCTTGCAAAACATTTGGCTAGTAATGTTCAGAGAAATACCAAAACGTGTTCTTATTATTGCTGCTATATTATTAAAAATGAGACGAAGTGGGGCACAAAGAAAATATGAAAATACCATTCTCTTGGTGTAGTCTACTGATTTGCATTGACATCTTTTCTCAGTGGTAATCAACATTTCCTTTCTGGGCATCTGATAATTTCTCTGTATTTTAATGCAAATTCCTCTTTCCCTAAAAACATTCCTAACCTCAGCCATTTTACCCCCTCCCTCAATTCAACTCCATCCTCTTTCGCCCCCACAATACCATCGTTTCTAAGCTTTGGCCTAAACCTCCCGCTACAAAGCGGGGAGTCCAGGATTGAAGTGGAAGGGAGTGGGCAAATAATCATAATAATTAGCCGCGAATTCTCTACAAGAGGAGAAAGAAATAGAAAATAAAATGCTTCTGCGTTGAAAGAGCAAAACAGACTGGAACGTCTCAATGCCCCAGCGGCTGACTGAGATCTCCTTCCTCTCTGCAGTTGCAAAGGAATAAATTTAAAGAAAAAAAAAAAAAGCTTTAGAAGAAATGTAAGGAAGGAGCGAGGGAAACGAGGGCTGCTGGGGGAGGGGGAGGGGGAAAAGGAGCTATGCCTTCAAGTTTGCTTTCCAAGTCCTTCCTTTTGATTGTCTTAACAGGGCAAGGAAGCACACCAAGTCTGAAATGTGGAGAGGAAAAGCAAAGAAACAAAAGCGAAGGCTAGGGCGACAGGCCCGGGGCAGGGGGCCCGGCGGGGGCGGGCTTTGCCGAAAGTGAAGTTGGGCGCCGGGACTCTGCGGCACAAAGCAAGAAGCTTGCTGGCTGCAGCCTCCGGCCGCGCTCGCTGCAAACACGTGCAGCGGCGGCTGCCGGGCCGTGGGGCGCGGGCCAGGCCGGGAGGCGACCGGCAGCCAGGGGCCCCTACCGCCGCCTCCACCGCCGTCCAGCCCGGCCTCAGGGTGACCACCGTTCCCCGGCCCCGCCAGTTGGAGAAATGGGAAGTGAGGCTTGGAAAACTCGGCTGGTTAACCTGGTGCAGTCTCGGTATCACCACACACACCCCTCAAGCGTGGGCCCCGAAATTCATTCTGTGTCCCCAAGCTTACACTTTTTACTTTGGGGGAATCTCTGCAAATGCGTTTCTCCCGCAATTCCGGGCACGAGTGTGCGCAGCGCGTCGGCAGCGGCTGCTGCGGTTATTCATTATTAATGATGCTGCTAGCCCGCATCATTATGATGATAACTATTACTATTGTTGTGATTTCGGGCTCCGAGGCGAGAGCTGCAGGAGGCGGGGGAGCCAGAGGTCCGGCTGCAGAGCCGCCGTGCAAGCCCAACGTAGCCGCCGTTGTCCGTGCTTTGCGCGGGGGTGTGGGGGTAGAAGAAGTGAACCGGGAGACTAAGTGCAAACTTGCTGGATCCCGCCCTTTGGCCTTGCCTCGAAAGCTGAGAGTGCGTATTCCCCTTTTCCTCCCTACCAAAAATGCCCGCCCCAAAAGAAAGCGAAAACTGCACCCCACTCAGCGCCCGGCGCACGGGGTTGTCGACCGCGCTCCCGAGCGCTTCTCCGCAGCCCTGGCCAGGAGCATTTTTAAAGTCAAAATGAAGAACAAAGACATAAGGGGTGATGGGGGGAGAAAGGGAATTCTGCCTAACCGTCCGTTTCCCCCACCCCCACCCTTGCAAAGCTCGTCCCTCCCCGGCCGAGAAACGCAGAGCAGGGAGTGGGGGAGGCTCTGGTACAGGTTCAAGTTCGCTGAGCTTTCTTGATCTTGTTCTGCCTCCTAGCGACCGAATGGCTCAGTCAGCCCAAGAAGCGGAGGACTGGGGGGGAGGGGGGGTCTTGAAGACCGGAATGGCTCCCGCCCCCTCTGCGCACCCAGAAAATGAGAAAGAAGCGGCCCCCGCACCCCCTCCATACTAGTCCCTTAACCCAAAAACCGCAATGAGACAAGGCTAGAGGCCGGCTAAACCCACCCAGCCTGGAGTGTCCCGAGATGGACCCGGGAGTGGGTGGGGGACAGGGGAGCAGCCCGGACTGCACGCCTCAGTCGGTCCTTTGAGCCCCCAGTGCATCCTTCCGAAGAAGGGCCGGGCTTTCCCGAGTCCTGCGAACACTGCCCTTCCTTCCCGCCGGTACCTGGCCGGGCTGTAACTTCACACCGCCGCGCGCCGCGTCTGCTCCGCATCCGGCGCGGCCGGGGGAGTGGGGGGCGGGGGAGAGCGACGAGGGAGGGATGCGCGGGGGTGGGGAGAGGGAGGGCCCCGCAACGTGCCGGGGCGGGGGAGCTTCCGAAGTGTGTGACAAGTTCCAGGGCCTAGTGAAAAATTCAACTCCCTATGCGCACCCCCCAACCCTTTAATAAATACAAAATTGGGTATAGGTGGTGGTTTTAAATTGCATCAAAAATTAAAATAAGGGTCACAAATGAGGAGGGGAAGGGATGTGGGCCCTCTCACGCCTTTCTTTCCCTGGCTGCCAAACTTTCCGAAGTGCCCACCGCCCGCCTTTCCAGACGCACTCTGTTAGCCAGGACCCAGTAACCCACCCACCACCCCATAAAGACTCAAAAGGACCACCGCAATCCCCTCACCGCTGACCAAGACAGGCCCTGGTTAGAGGGCAGGAACTCAAGGGTGGGGTGCACGGAGTACCGAGATCCAGCACTCCCCAAACACACAGTCGCACATACTACTCTGCCCACCTCCCCACCCCCCCATCTCACCCCCCCCCACCTGGCCTGGCAGCGCTCGGGAGGCGGGGGCTAGTGGCCAGACCCAGTGGGAGGGGGGCAAGGAAAGCACGTGGTGACCTCCCCGCGGTCCGGAGCTGTGGACAAGAACGTCCGGGGGCGGGGGGAGGGGGCGGCAGACGCGCTTTTTCAATTGGTTTGAAAAATAAAAATGCTTCACAAAGCTGAGTTTCTCCCCAGCCGATTTCGCAGTCTGGTGGGCTGGGAGAAGGTCTGGGCATTGTGCTGGGGGTGAAAGTGCACTGTGGACCCGGCTGGCGCGGAGTCGCCGCTCGGCCTGCCGCTGTGCGGGCGGGCAGACGGCTGGCGCGGGGTGGGCGATCTCGAGCAGGGCGGGGG